CCTTCAAGTCCTTTCTGATTGATGGCAGCTCTTCACCTCTATTGATGTATTATTACGCATTATCCGGATGCCCGACCACCATCTCCCAAAGCAGTTGCTCTACTGCGAACTCAAGAACAGAAAATTGAATGTTGGTGGGCAAGAAAAGAAATTTAAAGATGGGCTCAAAGCCAACCTTAAAAACTCTGGCATAGACACTGAGAACTGGGAAGCCCTGGCCCTTGAGTGCTCTCCAGCTGGAGGTCAGCTGTGACCAGCAGTGCTGCAGAATTTGAAGAGGCACGAATGGAGGTGAAAGAGAGAAATGTGCCAAGAGGAAGGCGCGTCAAGCCAACCCCGACCGAGACCGGCTTCCACCTGGAAACCAATGCCCTCACTGCGGGAGAAGATACAGGTCAAGAATAGGGCTCCACTGTCACCTACGGACGCACAAGAATACTGATCTTGGAAGACTATCCTACTCAGCCAACAAGGGATTGCCTAAGTAAGTAAGTACAACACCGAAGACTGAGGGTGCATCTACACTGTACAATTAATGCAGCACTTGAACTGCCATGGCTCAAGGCTACGGAATCCTGGGAGTTGTAGTTTAGTGAGCACTATTTTGCAGAGAAGACTAAGGACTCCCAAAATCTATTACCTGCCATGATTCTATAATAATGAGCCATAGCAACTAAAGTAGTGTCAAAATGCATTTATTCTACAGTGTAAAGCCACTTCCACACAGCTGTACAAAATCCACATTGAACTGGATTATATGGCGATGTGGACTCAGATAAACCAGTTCAAAGCGGATATTGTAGATTATCTGGCTTGATATTCTTAGTTATATGGCTGTGTGGAAGGGCCCTAAAAAGAACCCAATGACTCCTTCTACACTGCCATATAATCCACATTATCAAAGCAGATAATCCACATTATCTGTTTTGAACTGGATTATATGAGTTTACACTACCATACAATCCAATTCAAAGCAGATAATCTGGATTTTACATGGCAGTGCAGAAGGGCCATAAGGGCCCTTCCACACAGCCAAATAACCCAGAATATCAAGACGGATAATCCACAATATCTGCTTTGAACTGAATTATCTGAGTCCACACTACCATATAATCCAGTTCAGTGTGGATTTTATACAGCTGTGTGGAATGGGCAAGAGAAGACAGAATCCCGAAATCCATCACCTTGGGTGCATCACTCTACAGTTTGACACCACTTTAACTGCCATGGCTGAATACTGTGGAATCTGGGAAATTAAGTTTTACAAGGTTTTTAGCTTTCTGTACCAAAGTGCTGATCCCTGCCCAAACTACAATTCCCAGCATTCCATAACATTGAGCAAATGCAATTAAAGGAGTATCAAAATGCATTAATTTGGGACAGTATTGAAGTTTTACAAGGTCTTCAGCTTTCTATAACAATATGCCGGTCCCACCCCAAACTACAGTTCCCAGCATTTGACCTTGAGTTTGGGAGTTGTAGTTCTCCTACATCCAGAGAGAACTTTGGACTCAAACAACAATGGATCTGGACCAAACTTGGCATAAATACTCAGCATACTCAAATGTGAACACTGGTAGAGTTTGGGGGAAACAGACCTTGACATTTGGGAGTTGTAGTTGCTGGGATTTATAGTTCACCTTCAATCAAAGAGCATTCTGAACCCCACCAATGGGGCAAACTTCCCACACAAAGCCTCTATCACCAACAGAAAATACAGTGTTTTCTGATGGTCTTTGATGACCCCTCTGAAACTCCCTCACGACCCACTATGGGTCCCGACCCCCAGGTTGAGAAACACTGCACTAAAGGATTTCATAGCAGTTAAAGCGATGTCACACCGCATGCCTCCTATGCAACGTTTCTCTTCAAAACAAGGAGTACCTTTATTTTTCTATTGTCTTTAGCTTTCTATACTAAAATGCTGGTTCCGCCCCAAACTACAATTCCCAGCATTCCATAACATTGAGCAAATGCAATTACAGGAGTATTAAAATGCATTAATTGGTACAGTACTGAAGTTTTACAAGGTCTTTAGCTTTCTGTACTAAAATGCTGGTCCCTCCACAAACTGCAATTCTCAGCATTCCAGAACATTGAGCAAATTCAATTACAGGAGTATCAAAATGCATTAATTGGGTCAGTATTGAAATTTTGCAAGGTCTTTAGCTTTCTATACCAAAATGCTGGTTCCGCCCCAAACTACAATTCCCAGCATTTCATAACATTAAGCAAATGCAATTACAGGAGTATCAAAATGCATTAATTAGTAAAGTATTGAAGTTTTACAAGGTGTTTAGCTTTCTGTACCAAAATGCTAGTCCCTTCCCAAACTACAATTCCCAGCATTCCGTAACACTGAGCAAATTCAATTACAAGAGTATCAAAATGCATTAATTGGTAAAGTATTGAAGTTTTACAAAGTCTTTAGCTTTCTGTACCAAAATGCTGGTCCCTCCCCAAACTACAATTCCCAGCACTCCATAACATTAAGCAAATGCAATTACAGGAGTATCAAAATGTATTAATTGGGTCAGTATAAACCCCGAGCCTTTAGTGTTGCGTGCAATGAACAAAGGGATAATGCATAAATGGAGGTGAAGGGTCATCATAAATAAATCAGAAAGGACTTGGAGGAACACACACTAAAGCATTCCATAGCAGTGAAAGTGGTGTCGCACCACATGCCTCCTATAGTGTAGATGCAACCTTTCTCTTCAAAAGAAGGAGCACCCAACTCCTCCAGCTCAAGACAAACACAGTGCAAAGGCAGCCAAACCTATGAGTGTGAAACTTATCTCTGGAGTAAGCTACTATCTCCACACATCCCTAAACCGAAGCGAAACCCGATAAGGCTCGTTCCCTGCGGATTGCAGCAATCCAGATTGTAAGGGCGGGGTTGGCCAAGGCAATTGATTGATTTATTGATTGGGGACCTTGCAAGAGCTTTCTTTCTAGGAAGGAGCACACTATCTCCAACCAAGGGCATTCATTAACCAAGGCAGAGCCCAGCAGGGTTTTGTTTACTTCTGAACTGCAATCTCAGCCAATCCAATTGGAAAGTGATCTGAGACCCCATTTCTCAAGATTTCCAATCCTCCAGCGGATGGGAACCACTTGCACAACAGCTTTGCTTTCTCTCTCCTGATTCCTGGACTGTTTTGACATGCAGATAGGGAACAAATGAAGTTTGACACCACTTTAGCAACTAGGGTGCAATGCAAGGGAATCCTAGGAAGTTGGGGAGTTTTGCAAGGTCTTGACCAGGCATTGGGAAACTTGGGGCCCTCCAGGTGCTTTGGACTTTAACTCCCATCATTCCTAACAGCCTCAGGCCCCTTCCCTTTCCCCTCCTCAGCCGCTTAAACTGCAAACTACAATTCCCAGCATTCCATAGCATTGAGTAAATGCAATTAAAGGAGTATCAAACTAGATTAATTGTGACAGTACTGAAGTTTCTATACCAAAATGCTGGCCTCCTCAAACTACAATTCCCAGCACTCCAAAACAATGAGCAAAGGCAATTAAAGGAGTATCAAACTAGATTAACTGGGATAGTACTTAAGCTACAAACTACAATTCCCAGCATTCCATAACATTGAGCAAATGCAATTAAAGGAGTATCAAACTGCATTAATTGGGACAGTATTAAAGTTTTACAGGATCTTTAGCTTTCTGTACTAAAGTGCTGGTCCCTCCCCCAAACTACAATTCCCAGCACTCCATAACATTGAGCAAATGCAATTAAAGGAGTATCAAACTAGATTAATTGGGACAGTACTGAAGTTTTACAAAGTCTCTAGCTTTCTTCGGCGACCCCTCTGGCCCCTCCCCAAACTACAATTCCCAGCACTCCATAACATTGAGCAAATGCAATTAAAGGAGTATCAAACTGCATTAACTGGGACAGTATTAAAGTTTTACAGGATCTTTAGCTTTCTGTACCAAAGTGCTGGCCCCTCCCCAAACTACAATTCCCAGCACTCCATAACACTGAGCAAATGCAATTAAAGGAGTATCAAACTGCATCAATTGGGACAGTATTAAAGTTTTACAGGATATTTAGCTTTCTGTACTAAAGTGCTGGTCCCTCCCCAAACTACAATTCCCAGCAGTTCATAACACTGAGCAAATGCAGTTAAAGGAGTATCAAACTAGATTAATTGGGACAGTACTGAAGTTTTACAGGATCTTTAGCTTTCTATACCAAAATGCTGGTCCCTCCCCAAACTACAATTTCCAGCACTCCATAACATTGAGCAAATGCAATTAAAGGAGTATCAAACTGCTTTAATTGAGACAATATTAAAGTTTTACAGGATTTTTAGCTTTCTGTACCAAAGTGCTGGTCCCTCCCCAAACTACAATTCCCAGCACTCCATAACACTGAGCAAATGCAATTAAAGGAGTATCAAATTAGGAGTATCAAATTAGTACTTCAGCTACAAACTACAATTCCCAGCACTCCATAACATCGCGCAAATGCAATTAAAGGAGTATCAAACTGCATCAGTTGGGACCTTATTAAAGTTTTACAGGATCTTTAGCTTTCTGTACCAAAGTGCTGGTCCCTCCCCCAAACTACAATTCCCAGCACTCCATAACATTGAGCAAATGCAATTAAAAGAGTATCAAACTGCATTAATTGGGACAGTATTAAAGTTTTACAGGATCTTTAGCTTTGTGTACTAAAGTGCTGGTCCCTCCCCAAACTACAATTCCCAGCACTTCATAACACTGAGCAAATGCAATTAAAGAAGTATCAAACTGCATTAAGCGGCTGTGGGGGGAAAGGAAAGGGCCTGAGGCTGTTAGGAATGATGGGAGTTGAAGTCCAAAGCACCTGCAGGGCTCAAGTTTGCCCACACATGGTCTATATTGAACATATAATGCAATGTAGATCTAGCCAAATTGTCCCTGCCCTCTTTCCATAGTTCTCAAATCCCATTTTTTTGCTTGTCTCTGTTTGTAGGAACCCAAACAATGCAATGTGGACTTACCTTCGGTGGGCCAAACTCTGGGCAGAACCGATCCCAGGAGGAACCCCAAACCAAGCCAGCCGGGGCTGAGAAAGGGCCCCATTGTTTTGTCATGACCAAGCCCGGCTCATCCTTCCAAACTTGGCTGGAGGAGTTCCTTCTTCTTTTCCAAATCCTTTCCTCCAAATCCAGCCCGATTAGTTGGTTTGCCTTTGCAAGAGCTTCTCGTCCCACTTTCCTTCCCGATCCCAACTTCACAACTCCGACTTCTTGCTTCCCACTTCCGCGAAGGGAAAGGAGAGAGAAAGAGAGAAGCCACCACCTTCTTTCTCCTCCAACCTTGAGCGTCGGGAACGCGCTGGGCGCGCCCCCGAGGAGGAGGAATCCGGCTCACGCTGCAAAGCCATTCATTCCACTTTGGGACACACTTTGGAAGAGGCCAAGTTGAGCACTGCTTTCACTGCCACGACTCAGGACTCTTCCACACAGCCCTATATCCCAAGGCAAGAAATCCCACAATATCTGAGTGTGCAGGATCTATATCCCAGGATCTCGTCCCAAGTTTTTCTCAGGCAGTGTGGACTCATATAATCCAGTTTAAAGCAGAAAACCTGGGATCATATCCTGGAATATAGGGCCTGTCTGGAGGGACCCTCAGATAACTATAGGCCAGTGGTTCTCAACCTTCCTAATGCCATGACCCCTTAATCCACTTCCTCATGTTGTGGTGACCCCCAACCATAACATTAGTTTCATTGCTACTTCATAACTGTCATTTTGCTGCTGTTATGAATAGTAATGTAAATATCTGATATGCAGGATGTATTTTCATACACTGGACCAAATTTGGCACAAAGACCCAATACACCCAAATTTAAATACTGGTGGGATTGGGGGAGGGTATTGATTTTGCCCTGTGGGAGTTGTAGTTGCAGGGATTTCTAGTTCACCTACAATCAAAGAGCATTCTGAACTCCACCAATGATGGAATTGAACCAAACTTGGTACACAGAACTCCCATGACCAACAGAAAATACTGGAAGGGTTTGGTGGGCATTGACCTTGAGTTTGGGAGTTGTAGTTCACCTACATCCAGAGAGCACTGTGGACTCAAACAATGATGGATCTGGCCAAACTTGGCACGAATTCTCAATACGCCCAAATGTAAACACTAGTGGGGTTTGGGGAAAATAGACCTTGACATTTGGGAGCTATAGTTGCTGGGATTTATAGTTCACCTACAATCAAAGAGCATTCTGAACCCTGCCAACGATTGAATTGGGCCAAACTTCCCACACAGAACCTCCATGGCCAACAGAAAATACTGTGTTTTCTTGTGGTCTTTGGTGACCCCTCTGACACCCCCTTGTGACCCCTCCAGGGTTCCCAACCCCCAGGTTGAGAAACACTGCTATAGGCCCTTCTGCACAACCTTATATCCCAGAACATCAAGGCAGGAAATCCCACATTATCTGACTGTGGACTCGGATAACCCAGTTATTGTGGGATTTTCTGCCTTTCTATTCTGGGATATAAAGATGTGGAGAAGGGCCCTTAGTTATCTGAGTTATGATCACAGGTTTTCTGTTTTTCCCAGACTAGCCGTCCCCTGCCACGCATTGCTGTGGCCCACATGGGGGTTCTGTGGGAGGTCTGGCCCAATTCTATCGTTGGTGGGGTTCAGAATGCTCTTTGATTGTAGGTGAACTATAAATCCCAGCAACTACAACTCCCGAATGTCAAGATTTTATTTTCCCCAAACTCTACCAGTGTTCACATTTGGGCATATTGAGTATTCGTGTAGAGTTTGGTCCAGATCCATCATTGTTTGAGTCCACAGTGATCTCTGGATGTAGGTGAACTACAACTCCAAAACCAAAGGACACTGCCCACAAACCCTTCCAGTATTTTCTGTTGCTCATGGGAGAACTGTGTGCCAAATTTGGTTCAATTCCATCATTGGTGGGGTTCAGAATGCTCTTTAATTGTAGGTGAACTATAAATCCCAGCAACTACAGCTCCCAAATGACAAAATCTTTTTTTTAAGTGAAGGACATACATTGGGTTGTTAGGTGTCTTGTGTCCAAATTTGGTGTCAATTCGTCTAGTGTTTTTTGAGTTCTGTTAATCCCACAAATGAATGCTACATTTTTATTTATATAGATGTAATATTACTAAAAATATTACAATATAGTGGTATGGTGCAGTATAGCAATGTTTAATACTGATATTGCACTGTGCTAATAATATAATATATTGTATGTATATATATATATGCCTTGTAAGCTGCTCTGAGTCCCCTTCAGGGTGAGAAAGGCGGCATATAAATGTCATAAATAAATAAATAAGCTAACACGATTTTTGTTCCTAGATTATAAATGTAATTTCCTATCATTGGTTCTATCATAAAAACATGGGGAAAGTTTATTAAGTCCTGCAGCACATTTTGCTATAATTTTTCAATGAATATCTCATAGAGTCTCAACCAATTCAACATAGCTTGTGTCAGCCACAAAACACACATTTCTGGAATATAACAACTACTTTCAAAGTAAATACCACACAATTAAACAGGAAATAACACTTTCAAACCAGAAACAGAATTTTTTTCAAATTTTGTTACATAGTGTAATGAGAAATGAGGAAAACCACAATGAGGATGGATTGAGTCAATCGCGGAAGCCAAATCCCTGAGTATGAGGAACCTGAGCAGGGCTATAGGTCACTGAACTCATTGACATCCTGCATCCATAAGGTCAGTATAAGTTGAATCTGACTTGACAATAACTTCAGCTTCAGTTGATTCACTGCTTAAACAAATGTTTCATCTTGGTTACTTCAATCAAGTGGATATACTTGAACATTGCCAAAACATGGGCGTAAGTGGTTTTCCGAGGAACTGAAAGAAGTGGGGAAACATTACTGTTTAGTCAACAAATGTTACCATAGTACTTGTTCGGAACAGGGGTGGAAACATACCAGGTTTCAAGCAGCTGAAACACAAAACATGCCGTTAGCTTTCTTTTCTCTTTATTGGTTTTTATTCAGAATATAATACAATACAGAAAAACATTTCTTCATAATAGATATAAAACTATTACAACATAAATAATTCCAGCACTAATAAAAACATATTGAACACACAACTACTATGACTATTCTATGAAACACACACTCATTGTCAGTTGATTTTTACTCCTTGTTTTCCAACTTTTTTTAGATAACACTATATCAATGTTTCTCAACCTTCCTACTGTCGCAATCCCATAATACAGTTCCTTATGTTGTGATGACCCCCAGCCATAAAATTATTTTCATAGCAAAACTGTAATTTTGCTACTGCTATGAATCATAATGTAATATCTGATATACAGGATGTATTTTCATTCACCAGACCAAATCTGGCACAAATACCTGATTCGCCCAAATTTGAATACTGGTGGGGTTGGGGTGTGGGTTGATTTTGTCATTTAAGATTTGTAGTTTCTGGGACTTATCGTTCACCTACAATCAAAGAGCATTCTGAACTCCTCCAATGATTGAACTAAACCAAACTTGGCATACAGAACTCCCATGACCAACAGAAAATACTGGTTTTGGTGGGCACTGACTTTGAATTTGGGAGTTGTAGTTCACCTACATCCAGAGAGCACTGTGAACCCAAACAATGATGGATCCGAACCAAACTTGGCACAGATACTCAATATGCCCAAATGTGGACACCGGTGGAATTTGGGAAAAACAAACCTTTACATTTGGGAGCTGTAGTTGCTGGGATTTATACAATCAAAGAGTCCCTTGAACCCCACTAATGATAGAATTGGGCCAAACTTGGCACACTACCTACATGGCCAACACTGAATACTGGTAGGGTTGTGGGTGGGCTGTTTTTGATTCTGGGAGTTGTAGTTCACCAACACCAAAAAGGACAGCGAGATCTTTGGTGTTCTCTGCCAATAGGATCCCTAAGACTTTATGTCTTTTCGGATTGTCTTTGGCGACTCCTCTGAACCCCCCTCCCTTGCAACTCCCCCTCCAGGGGTCCTCACCCCCAGGTTGAGAAACAATGCACTATATGGATATGCTTCTAATTTTAATAACACTCCTCTAATTCAAATGTCATGGAGCCCCCGGTGCCGCAGTGGGTTAAAACCCTGTGCCGGCAGGACTGAAGACCGACAGGTCGCAGGTTCGAATCCGGGGAGAGACGGATGAGCTCCCTCTATCAGCTCCAGCTCCTCATGCGGGGACATGAGAGAAGCCTCCCACAAGGATGATAAAAACATCAAATCATCCAGGCATCCCCTGGGCAACGTCCTTGCAGACGGCCAATTCTCTCACAGCAGGAGTCACTCCTGACACGACAAAAAAAAATCAAATGTCCAATAGCTGAAGTTTGCCCCATCTTTACTGTAGAAAAATAATAAATGTAAGTCTCATTCTTTCTTAAAGCTGGTTACAGATTTCTCCTTAATCATCAATATTAGTTTTAAACTTCATTACAAGGCAGTGCAGATGAGGGCAGGATCACAAATCTTCGCCAGCCATTCTTCTTGTGTTGAGAAGGTGGGTTCTTTACATGCGGACCCCAAATTAGAAAGTTTGCCCATGCCTGATGTAGATGAACATCCAGCACTCCCCAACAAATAATATTCATGCAGATAGCTTTCAACTGTATAGATCAAAATGGTGTCCCAACTAATCAGTTTTGGCCATTTAGTTATGTATTTGTAACTCGCTTTCCCAAGGGCAAGATGGATAGATGGTATCCTTGAAGTGTCTGGCTTGACTTTGAAGGAGCTGGGGGTGATGACGGCCAACAGGGAGCTCTGGCGTGGGCTGGTCCATGAGGTCACGAAGAGTTGGAAGCAACTGAACAAATAAACAACAACAACAACAACAAAACATCAAATCCCGCTTTTCTCCTGAAATGGGACTCCAAGCAGCAAACAGCATGCAGACAAAAAATATTACATAACCATAAAAATAAACATAATCAACAAACCACAACATATCAATTCACCTTATATATGAATACACTCAGCCCTCCACATTTGCTGAGTTCAGGGGTGAGGGACCCCTACAAAAGTGGGACAACAACATTAATTTAAACCCTTTTCAAAAGCCTGAAAGAACACTTCTCTAGGAATCACTAGGTCCTCCAGTGCTATTCTATAGTCAACTTCCGAAGCTGATGAGTCGCACTGGAGGACTTAGAAATCCCTAGAGAGAACATTTTAATCAAATCCACAGAAGTTGAACCTGCTAATGTGGGGACTGACTGTACTCTGGGTTGCATCCTATTCCATTTCATGGGATTTACTTCCTTGTGAGTATGTAACACTGCCGTATGAATAACAAGATGATC